GGAGGGCTTCTCTGCCTTCCAGCAGATCAGCCTTCCCCCCCCTACCTTTTGAGAATGTAGGGATCAAAGGGGAAGAAACTGTCCAGTGGGTTAATGCAGGTCTGCACAAGGTCGCCCCCAGTGCCACTGCGAACAACAGGTATGAACTGTCTGTTGTTCCTCTCAATGATTGTGTAGCAGAACACCAGCTGGTATTTCCTTTAAAAAGGTAATAAAGAAAAGAGAAGCATTTCTAGCACACAGAAAGCAAGAATTTCAGATGGTATTAAAATACGATGTTATTTTTTAACAAGTATCACTGCTATCTTCTACTTTCCAACTGGTATTAGTTCTCACTGATGGCTCCAACACAAAGCCATCAGTTTCGTATTACTGTAGGATTTCATTGAAACTGAACTAGAAACAAACTCATCCCACAAAAAATACGGTCAGTGTCATATGATTCATCTTGGATAATACTTAATATTGTGCCTAACAAAACCCATGTTCTGAGTGCTGGGTTGGTACACACACACACACACACACACACACACACACACACACACACACAAATATCTGTATCAAGCTGAACTGAAATAAATGAGTAGGTACCTGGTAATGGCAGCAAACAAGTTCACAACAGAGGGTATACAAATCTTGAGAGGATTCAGCTGACACATGACAATACGCTCAAAATTTAAACTCTGCAGATATGACAGACCTTTAAAATAAGAACATTTGACAAAAGGAGGTTATAAATTAAACTTAATTTATAGGAATTTCCAGTCTGACCAGCCTGCACTCCACACACCACCACAGCAGCACATCCTAGGGCACTCTCTTATTGTAGAGCTAGCCCACAGCTTGTTCAGCAGAAAAGCTACTTTGAAGAACAGTAACCTGCAATAGCCAAGGGATCCTTCTAACAGACACTGCACTTACACATCCATTAGAGCGACTGACAGAGGCACAGAGCCATCAAGACAGGTTATGAATTAAAGCCCATACTAGTTTTACATAGCTAGCATTCAAACAGGCTCAGTAAGTGAGGCCAGAAATCAATGTTGAGGAGTTATCAACATTTTTTCAATAGGGGAGAATAAAAAAGATTATTTAGCTTGGCAGCCCAACAGGTGTACACGCGATCTCATTTTATTTAGAGCACAACACACACTTGCCGCCAGATACCTGACTGAATTGACCACTACAAAACATATCAACAGAAACACTAGCAAATGAATCCAAATGCCATTCAAATCTAATACACTCACCTTTCCTTAAGTTTCCATCCAGAAGTTGCTTATGACGGAAAATAAGTGTATAGAACACCGCCTGACATGTAGAATAAAACGGTCCGTGCAGAGCTACATCACAGAAAGCATTGGCCCCTGTATCCTGATTATCAATGTATTTATGCATCCAGTTCACCAGAAGATCCAGGCATGCTTTTACTGTACTATAAGAAGGGGGGGGGGGTGTAAAAAAAAAAGTGTAAAAGTAGCACCTGAAATGGTGCAGAAAAGATATTTAACAAGTATTCAAGGATCTCAGTGGTTATAAAAACAACAGTCAGAAAATCTCATTGTAAAAAAGGAGATTCTGTTACGAGCTTTCTCCTTTATCTCAGCATAAAATGAATCACTGTAACAGCACTGAAAAACCCAACCAGTGAAAGCCCATGATGCCAGAAGAGACGAATCCATGAATGGATGTTGCATGTGACACACAGTGAACAATCAGAATATGGGGCTACAGAGAGAGGCCTCCCATATCCGAACCATTCCAATATCAAATTACAGTCAACATTAAGGTCACTGAGCCCACCCTGAATAGCGTAAAAATACAGAATATTTATGTAAAAAAGAAGACATTTTCATCCATCTGCTTAAGTATTTTAATCCACCTGTAAACAAAATACTTGAACACTTGATTTCCTTGTCTCAGAGCCGACATTAAATGCCTTAACATAGGGCATTAAAAATATCTGCTTCTGAACATCAGATATACCAGGCATCCAGGACTCCACCTGAAGTCAACATAACCTAGCAGTGCTCAGCATTTCTCGGCAAGTGAAGCCTTAAACAGCAATTCAGGAATCCTAGCAATCATTAGTCTGCATCCTGTAAATTCAAAACTTTCCAGGAAACTTCAAGGCAATACTGAAACAGTACTGCAGAACAAGACCATTGATATAGGCTTACTGGTTAAGCAGTGGGAACAGAAGACCAACACTGTGTGTGCATTCTGTGAGTTCTGTACTTAACCTCAGCAATCACCATAAATTGCTTGGTTCTGCTCATATATCAAAACAACTTACACAGCTGGAATAAATTTAGCTCTTGCCAAGAAGCTGCCAATATAACTCCCAGCTGTCTGCCTGATCACCGAAGGATTGTTTGGATCATGCAATTTTTTCCAAAGATGGTTTAAAAATGCTTCAGCCAACCCCTGGAAACAAGATACACAGAAATAATGAGTTGTTATGCTGATAACATTGTTTAAGTAATAGATTCCTAACACTCAATTCCCACAATTTCCATAACCAAACCATACAAAAAAAACCCAACATACCTATAACAGGTAAATAATAGCAGTAAATAACTACTCCTACACATGATGGAAGAGCACTCTTTTTTGTGTTATTTTCTATGCTTAGTTGTAAAAAATAAATGGAACCAGAAGTCTGGGCAAAAGGCAGTAATAGATACACAAGAAGTGTTCAAGAACAAGAGCAGTAAGAAGGTAAACATGAAGTGACTGGTCACTGTCTCTTGTAGCAGAAAAGGTCAGGGACACCCAATGAAAAGAGCAGGAAGTTGAATACAGAGAAACTAAACAGATTCTCCACCTTAAATGGTTATATGATGAATTTTTTTGCCACAGAATTTCATGATGCCAAAACAACTCCTATCAGTACAAAAAGCATAATATCAGGACAGATTTTCTCCTTGAATTTGTCCATCACGGGCTGTTCCCGTGAGAGAACATCACATTGGTTCAGGAAGTTACCAGACTGCTGCTGGAGGCTGAAAGGGTATTCTAGCAAAGCACCGTAACATGTTTGCCCCATTCTGGTATTCTTTCCAACACATCCACTATTCACCAGAGACAGGGCATTAGCCCAGCTCCATCTTTAGCTACTCTCACACAAAACATACACATGTTTTTATTTTCATGTGCTTCAGAGACGTGGGGGGGGTAACAGACAGCAGACAAAAATTTCAAATTGAAGAGCCAACACAGACAGGATCTTTCAGACAAATTTGGGATGCTGGAGAAACTCGATGGAACACAGTGTCTTAAGTTCAAGAGTCCAACTGAGTCTTGTAAAAGAGGTCCATTAAACAGGTTCCTTCACACCAGCTTAGACTCCATCTGTCTGCAGCTTACGAATGACATGGGAAGAGTCACCACATAAATAAAAATTTGAAATGAGTAAGAGAAAAGGAAAAGAAAGCAAAGATACTAATGAATCCTGATGTACTGTCTTCAGACTAGAACTACAGCAGAAAACAACTATCTTTTGTAAAAAAAAAAAAAGCCAAAACAATGATGCAGAAACAAGAGAAGACACTGCATTTTAAAAACAGCTTCCACTCACCAATTTAAAGCTACAGATGTAAAACATGAAATACTGTACATGACAGGAAGCATGGGTTGGTAAAATGAGCTTGTCAAAAACAGAAACAAGATCCCGATACAAATCCTTTGTGCTGTTGATATCAAGTTTGCCTACACAACAAAAAAGGAAAACAGAACAAAATGAGCAATTTCAGGGTTTTTTTCCCTGTCCTCATGCTGCAAAAGTAGCATTTATATTTACTTTCCAAACCAGTAAGAAATATGTAAAGAAACACTACCAAGCTGACTTCCAGGCTTATCTGACATCAACATAATATTTACAGTCTACTGCTTTTTACACTGGTGCATACAGAGAATGAGTTAATTCAGAAGGGCCAGATGAAAACACTAAGAAATAAATTATCTGACTTATGTGAAGAAGATACAGCAAAGTGGTTTCTAAATATTCTGTTTTAAGTATATAAATTTAAGAAATTAAAACTTTTAATAAAATGCCAGTTTAAGACATTTCTTTCAGGTTTTTTCCTATAACACAAAGCCCTGCTCTAGCAATTCGAATTGAGAGACATGACTGGTTGTTTTAATCTACTTCCAGTCCTTGTGACATTGAACAGATTCATAATTGTAATACTCAAAGTAATACAGCAGAGCAAAGGATAAAACACTGTGGTTAATCAAGAAGTATTTATAATCCCCTCAGTTTTGTAGCACAATGAAAAAAACAAAACTCTATTTACCCTTATATCTTGTAATGCCAGTTTGGATACAGTGTCATCTTTGTACAATCAAAATGTATCCAACCAAAGAGGAGAGCTTTACAGCCATAAATGTACCTTTGCACCCTCTGCCAAGGCAGGAATGCAGACCACAGCCTGCTGATGGCAGGATTCTGCCCCTAAAGGGTGAAGGCTCTATCTTGTAGCAGCAGAAAGAAGGAACACCTCCTATGGTTCTCTTTCTTGTTAGCAAAACAACAAATCTGGTGATAGTTCACGTGTCTTACCATCCACGTGGCAAACGTCTTTAATGTAGGAAAACAGGATGGTCATCAAAATATCAAGGCGCTCTGCAAGTGGATGGGCCATTCTCTCACTACTGGAAGAGAAAACTTTGTTTCCTTTCCTTTCTTCATCTTCCTCCTAGTAGATAAAATGACAGTCATGCAGCTTTTATATATATATATGACATCAGAAAGACAGCAATTACAGGAAAAGTGAAACTAAATCCATCTTTCAGTGATGCGCTTTCAGTTTTGTCTTATAAAAAAGCAGTATCTAATCATATAGCTTAGGGTAAGCAAATTTTTGTCAACTAAGCCAACTACCATGAATTCTTTAATCAGCTTTATGTATAGCAGCTTGTATTCTTATACAATGAAATTGATTCACTGCACGTATTTACAGGAATAAAGTCAACACCCAGGGAACACATCAATCGTTTGTCAGCTGTTCGGGTTTCAAGAGATGTGTGCTATGCAGTAACGACAAAGCAATAATGTATTCATACACTGCCTCGGTTCACAGCCACCTGAAAAGGTGAACATTTCACTAAAAAAAACAACCAAACAAAAACTTTTAGTAGAACAAGACAGCCAACCATGTCAAAAAGTCCCTCCTCTGTAGATTTTTCCTCACTGTCAGAGTTATTAGCGGTTTCTTCAGCATCTTCAATATCTTGCTGTGGAGTACTAACCTACAGTTGCAAACAAGAAGTTATTTATTTTTGTAAGACCATGACAATAATATGAAACCTTTTTTAATTATTGATATAAGAAACAACACCACGAGTAATTTCTAGACTGGATTTTGTCTTTGACTAAATATTTTAAAAGGGAACAACATGTACGTAACACACAAACACATGCTACAAACTGCCTGAAACTTTACCTCCAGACTGTAACTTACCACAGACTGTTATATGCTGAGGTTCTCCAGAACAAAAAGCTTTAATCATTGCTACCCCTCCTGTCTTTTTTAAGACTGTAAATCCTTGCACTTCAAAGGGATGAGAAAACAGACCACCCGTACAAAGAAAAGCACACTCTGCACATTAGCACTGATCACCACGAAACAAGTTATTTTGACTCTGGCACAGAGATGCCATGCAGGGTCTAACAGTACACATCCTAGGTGCCCTCAGGTATGGGAACATCTTAAGGCTGGGAGTGGAGTGTAAATTTGGTTGGTTTTATACTCATTATCATGAGCACTACTGCAACGTATTTTTAGTTAAGCGTAACACTGAAGCATATTTAATTTCCTACTCTGTGTACATTAACACCAAGCTTCCTTAAAAGATGATACAGAACAAACTTACATCCAACTTTAACAGCTTTTCAATAATAAGCTCCAGAATTTGAAGCCTCAGAGTTGGGAGGTACACCGTAACTCGTAGCAGGTTATGTACATAACATTCCTAAAACATAAAATTAATTGGTAACTATAATTATGTTAACAGAAAGTCTCGATTCTGCTAAGGATTTTTGAAAACAAGTTCCTTACTTCCCACAAATGACTTTCAAAAGACTGTATTCAATCTAGAGTAAGTTAATGTATAAGTTTAACATCAACTTTCAATTGTTAAGCTGTGTTATTATTAACTTCTCAATCTACTATTTCCATGCAATTTTTTCCAACTACCTCCAGACAGAATGAGTAGAAATATCCTCTAGGAAAAGTTATTCACTTCCATATATGTCTGAACTTTCTTTTGGAAAATTAAAGCAAGCAGCATATTCCTCACTGTATCTAGAACCAGATCTAGTAGCACTGTTTAAAGTGAGACTGAATACATCTTTATTTCAGGTTATTCTAATATACCAATAACAATTCTAAACTGCACAAGTAAGTCTCCTCAGAGCAGTTCCAATTCAAGCAGGCTAACATACAAGCTCCCTAAGTGTGCATATGCCCACCCACATAAACACACACGTACCAGAGTCAGCGTTGCTTCTTTCATACAGCAAAACCATCAAGGCAATACGTAAGATTAGGTAACGTGCCACATAAAGTACACCATAGTCTCTTTGTGAATATGCATTATAACACAACCTTTAATTACATGAGCACATACGATTTTTCCACGGGCCATCTGGCTCACTCAGTACATAAAATGGATAGAGCCAGTATAATGAAAATCTATAAACTGGAAATATTTAACAACAATGCCTGGACCGTATTTTTTTTTGCACTTCATTTAAACCTTGCCCTGAAAACACAGTTATCAATTTCTTAATGAACTGCTCCTCACTGAGCTGCTAAATAAATAAATAGCAATTTTTCTAACACCATGTAAGAGCTCTTATCCTCCTTATTTTACAAACAGGGAACTGATGCTCAAAGTTATCTGGACTAAAACCAAAACCAACCAACCAACCAGCAAGGTACACCAAGAACTTCAGCGGTGCTTTAGGACTTGAGTTCGTAACACAGCTCCAACTGAATTTGGCTGGTGGAGCTGGGCTCTGCGTTTCTGTAAAATCAAGTGCCAACACATCAAGCTGGAATGAGTAAATATAAAGATCATACAAGAGCTGTAACCTGTCAGAAGTTTCCAGCTTGTTTTTCACCACACAACAGCACTCTACCAAAGATGCAATAAAACAACACCCTACACTACCGGCAACTTGGATTTCACCTATAGCATTCCTTGCTTTCCGTCTGCTTATCAAATCCCCTGTTCTGATAAATACTTTCCAGTTCTGACAACAAACAAGACAGATATCCTACGACCTCTTTACTATACAACCCTGACATTCATTGTCAAAAAGGTCCATCTTGTGCATTGATTGAAAAAGCAATCCTGGGGAAAAGATACACAGGTATGTCATTAAAGATCAGCATAATGCTTATACACAAGGAACTTAAGTGTGCTTGGTCAACCTTCTACTAAACAGACACACACATATATATATATATGTGTATAAATATAATATGAAGATAACAAGAATCTTCAACAATGCACTCAAAAATCTACATTCAATGCCAGCAAATCAGCTGCCATACTATGGAGTATATTTATGCATTGAAAAAACAAGTGAACAAATAAGCAAAAATAGTCACAGCTCTTACCAGAGTTCTTTCTGATTTATTAATGAAAGGAAAGTTTTCCACAAGTATCGGCATGAGAAATTGTGGCGTCCTACAATTTAAAATAAAAAGGAAACAAAAACAAAAAACAAAACCCCCACAAAGTTATAGGTTATTACCACAAGAGCAAATACTGAAGCTCCACCACACTAAAACAGACTGCGATAAGCTTATTTTACAGTAAGTTTATTTTAAGGTAAGTAATTGTGTAATATTTGGTTTTGCAAGGATCACAGAACAGAGAAGAAAGTGGCAAACTTTAACTGTGGACGTGTTAGATTCCACTTTAAACATGCTGCTACAAACAATGACTTTCCCT